TAGGCCAAAAGTTGGAGGGGCCGGACTCGGTCCGTAAGCCCCCATCGAACTGGATAGGACTCGGCGATACCTGCCTGCTATTTCGGCACAGATTCTATGTCATTCGCTGTCCTGCAGGCTCACTCTCCTGTTTGGTCCCCGCTTACTCTGGCACAAGTGAGCCCTCCCAGGTCGCCTCCAGAGGTGAGCTGGGAAAGCCTCTCTTTTCTACGACGTAGGATCTACGTGATACGGATCGTATCACGCATCGTATCATATGATGCCAGAGGGGTAAATAAACCCCTCTCAGCAACATCATTGCAAGCACCGGTATGACACGGCGAGCAAAGACTCTCACTCATTTTCAGGACTTCTACTCGAACGACTCGACGTCCCGCAGCAAGCAGATGCAGACTAGGAGCAATGCCGGCCACCCTATGAGACTTCGCAGAAGAGAGAGGGTTGACTATCGTGCCTTGCACAGCCGTGGCAAGCAATGATTGCTGAATTCTCATAAGAGCTCAAGCGCCGTGTGCATGCATGTTCAATTCGTGGTCTCGGAGCGCATGGCTATCCGTGTTAGAGTGATCAATAGTCTTTTTATATGACTTAGAACAGTCATCACCGGGTCACATAGCTGTCACTGACACCTCTAGCTACACGAGCCACAGAGGAGTCCCTGTTGATAGTGAGGTACGGGCCAACTCTCGTCGGGTCCCCATAACGTCCAACCTCCTCACTTACCCAAGTCTACAAGGGCATAGTCGAGCTCGATTTGGAGCCGGAACCCCATGACTCAATCACTTAGAGCCCTAGAGCCGGGGCACATAGCTGTCACTGACACCTCTAGCTACACCAGCCACAGAGGAGTCCCTGTTGATAGTGAGGTAGGGGCCAACTCTCGTCGGGTCCCCATAACGTCCAACCTCCTCACTTACCCAAGTCTACAAGGGCATAGTCGAGCTCGATTTGGAGCCGGAACCCCATGACTCAATCACTTAGAGCCCTAGAGCCGGGTCACATAGCTGTCACTGACACCTCTAGCTACACGAGCCACAGAGGAGTCCCTGTTGATAGTGAGGTACGGGCCAACTCTCGTCGGGTCCCCATAACGTCCAACCTCCTCACTTACCCAAGTCTACAAGGGCATAGTCGAGCTCGATTTGGGGCCGGAACCCCATGACTCAATCACTTAGAGCCCTAGAGCCGGGTCACATAGCTGTCACTGACACCTCTAGCTACACCAGCCACAGAGGAGTCCCTGTTGATAGTGAGGTACGGGCCAACTCTCGTCGGGTCCCCATAACGTCCAACCTCCTCACTTACTTAAGTCTACAAGGGCACAGACGAGCTCGATTTGGAGCCGGAACCCCATGACTCAATCACTTAGAGCCCTAGAGCCGGGGCACATAGCTGTCACTGACACCTCTAGCTACACCAGCCACAGAGGAGTCCCTGTTGATAGTGAGGTAGGGGCCAACTCTCGTCGGGTCCCCATAACGTCCAACCTCCTCACTTACCCAAGTCTACAAGGGCATAGTCGAGCTCGATTTGGAGCCGGAACCCCATGACTCAATCACTTAGAGCCCTAGAGCCGGGTCACATAGCTGTCACTGACACCTCTAGCTACACCAGCCACATAGGAGTCCCTGTTGATAGTGAGGTACGGGCCGACTCTCGTCGGGTCCCCATAACGTCCAACCTCCTCACTTACCCAAGTCTACAAGGGCACAGACGAGCTCGATTTGGAGCCGGAACCCCATGACTCAATCACTTAGAGCCCTAGAGCCGGGGCACATAGCTGTCACTGACACCTCTAGCTACACCAGCCACAGAGGAGTCCCTGTTGATAGTGAGGTAGGGGCCACCTCTCGTCGGGTCCCCATAACGTCCAACCTCCTCACTTACCCAAGTCTACAAGGGCATAGTCGAGCTCGATTTGGAGCCGGAACCCCATGACTCAATCACTTAGAGCCCTAGAGCCGGGTCACATAGCTGTCACTGACACCTCTAGCTACGCCAGCCACAGAGGAGTCCCTGTTGATAGTGAGGTAGGGGGCAACTCTCGTCGGGTCCCCATAACGTCCAACCTCCTCACTTACTTAAGTCTACAAGGGCACAGACGAGCTCGATTTGGAGCCGGAACCCCATGACTCAATCACTTAGAGCCCTAGAGCCGGGTCACATAGCTGTCACTGACACCTCTAGCTACACGAGCCACAGAGGAGTCCCTGTTGATAGTGAGGTACGGGGCAACTCTCGTCGGGTCCCCATAACGTCCAACCTCCTCACTTACCCAAGTCTACAAGGGCATAGTCGAGCTCGATTTGGGAGCCGGAACCCCATGACTCAATCACTTAGAGCCCTAGAGCCGGGGCACATAGCTGTCACTGACACCTCTAGCTACACCAGCCACAGAGGAGTCCCTGTTGATAGTGAGGTAGGGGCCAACTCTCGTCGGGTCCCCATAACGTCCAACCTCCTCACTTACCCAAGTCTACAAGGGCATAGTCGAGCTCGATTTGGAGCCGGAACCCCATGACTCAATCACTTAGAGCCCTAGAGCCGGGTCACATAGCTGTCACTGACACCTCTAGCTACACGAGCCACAGAGGAGTCCCTGTTGATAGTGAGGTACGGGCCAACTCTCGTCGGGTCCCCATAACGTCCAACCTCCTCACTTACCCAAGTCTACAAGGGCACAGACTCTCGTCGGGTCCCCGTAACGTGGATAGAAGTCTAGAAGGGTATATTCTCGGGTGTAGGTCAACCTAGGGCATCGTGGTAGGCGGTCTGAGGTCTCGTGAGGACGGGACGGGAGCGGAGAGAAGTCGTAGCGAAAGGGAAAGCAGAGGTGGCGCGCGAGAGAAAAAAGTGGCGCGCGGAGAAAAAAGTGGCCGGACAAGAAAAAAGTGACGCGCGGAGAGTAGGCGGCGAACCTGCTCCGGTCGGCGCAACGACTCAGAGACCTGCCCGGAAGAAGAGAGTGAAACCAGGTTGCCAAGCAACGCCTTACATTCGGCACCTCATGCCACCCACACGTGCAAACCCATTGGCCAAGGCTTTTCCCAAAGAACCTTGCTTTCGCTTTCTCGCCGTTGCATTTGACAATCTTCGCAATCTCCGCTTTGACAAGCTTATTCGACGGCATCCGCCCGCGGCCTTTGAACGGGTCATTTCCTTTCGCAAGAGCAAACAGTTGCTCCCTGTACGCAGAAAGGCCGGCGAAGTGGTGGGAAGGCATGGCAAAAGAACCTCTCAGGATTTCAGGCATCACGGAAAGAGCACGAGGATTAGAAAGGGTTAAGGCAACCAGACGTCGCAGCGCAGGGCGCGCGCGTAGCGCGCTTTCTGCGCTGCGACGGGCTGTGGTTTCTGGGCTGGTTCACGAAGTTTACGAGCCCTGTGGAGGGGAATACGTCGCGCGCCCGTGACTCTAGATGTCTCATCCCAGTACGACCACAATGCTGATGCTATGCCACTCCGCTGTCTCTTCGTCTGTGCACGCATGCGCATCAGCCTGGCTGTTAATGGTAGCACGCATGCGCGCCAGTCTTATTATGTTATATGGAGCCGTTATAGGCTGAGCATAAGTGATCAAGCAACTGAGTATTGCTGCTTTGATGTTTCTTATGTATGATAATGCTGAGGGCTGAGAATGGCATCCTCAGTGTTGTCTCCACAGTTGCGCTGCTTTGCCATTAGCTATGCTGCCTACACAGTTGCACGCATACTCAAGGCTTTCTTGGCGCCTCCCTTCACTCTTGTGTTAGAGTCAACTGAGGCTCATAACAATTATTAGTTATGATAGTACGTGCACTATTATCTGTTCTCTGTATTTCTCTGTCCTGTCAATGCTCGGCCTTCTCGAGCTCTCATTGCTTACTCTCTTATTGGCTATGCTGTCAGTACATACTTATCTCTTTCCCCTATGTCTAGTGTTGCCAGTCGAACTCGGGCGAAACGGGCACGCACTCTATCTCCTCTTGCGTCGGGGAGATCGGACCCACAACAACATTATCATCCGAGAACTGTCACGCACGACTGATGCCCTCACGTCGATGACATCGCAGTTGACTGAACTGCAAGCGAGCCGAGTGCCGCCGGCAGTGGTGAATCCGGATCAAGAGCTACCCACATCGGGTGCAGCGGATCATCAACCCCTTCCACCTGTTCTGACGCTGGAGCGGGACCCTTTGGTGCACCCGGGACCGTTGGGGACACCGCCTTCCGGACCGGTTATGATGTCCGGTGTCCGGATGTCCGGTGTTGTTGGTGCTCGGTTGTTGCTCATAGTCAACGCAAGGCGAGAAGGAGTATAAAGTCTTCTATCTTCTGCTTCTAAGCTTAGTCTCTCGAGGGGAATAAGCTATGCACGCATGCACAAGACGATCGGCGCATAATGAGTAACACTTTCCCCTCCGAGTAGAGAAATGGGATGATGATGAATGGAATTTAAGGTGAGGAGGAGTTCCAGATATTTGATGAGCTCCTCGAGGGACGTGGGTGAGGTTGTAGAGGTCTCAGGAGGTTCACTGGGGGTCTGGGCACCAGTTGTTGGTGCTCGGTTGTTGCTCTTGGTCAACGCAAGGCGAGAAGGAGTGTAAAGTCTTCTATCTGGATCTATTCGGGGGGCGGGAGTATTAGCTAAGCACGCATGCACAAGACGATCGGCGCATAATGAGTAACAGGTGTCCAGCCTACACCTCGACTAACGGGGACCTATATCGACCTTCCTCCTCCGACCGGACCTGTTGTATCCCCACCTTCGTACGGACAGCCGCCCACTTTGAACCCGGCACCTAGAATGGCGCCGTTCATGTCGTTCATTGGGGATCTGGTGGTAACGGGATAGCCGTTAGCTGGTGAACGCTTCATCGGCAGCATCTTGCCATCAAGCGCCGAGCTAACTGGACAATAGCGGCTCAACGTTAGAACTGAAGGCATGAGAGGCTTCCGGTGCACAACGAATACGACTGCGTGACGCTTCGAAGGTCGCCTCAGTCAGAGCAAGACGTCAATGGTCGATGCAGGGCTCGAACCTGCGACCCTCGCGTTATTAGCACGAACCCGGCACGATTAACCGACTGAGCTAAACGACCAACCTGACAATATTTTAAAGCTCCGGGAGGGCCGGAAGCGGCAGTATTCTTATACTTGTCTCCTGGTGCTAGCTCGCCCCCGTCCCCCCATACAATGTTGAATGTTATCGCAGCCAACCTTTCACGAGATGTCGTCGAAAGTGGTTCAACATTGGAAGGGGGGAGGGGGGTGCATAAAAAATTTTCCGTTATACGCCGAGTAGAATATCTGACGCCAATAGGCCTCGAATCGCGCTGCGCCACCCCGTGGCGCGAAACGTGCGAAGTAAACGCGTAGGAGAGTTACAGCTGAATATAGCGTTGCTCGCCCTACCACTGGTGACAGACACAGTCAAACTTGGATGGCGAGTCGCCAATGTTCATATTTTGGCGGAGTTTCTCAATGTGAAATCGAGAGCACCTGGGGTCCGATTCCTCGCTCGATTGGAGCCTCACGCCCGCGGTCAAACTGGATCCCGCCCAGAACTAGCACGGAGCGGTTTCACGGTTCCACGGGGATGCCAAAAGCATCACGAAGTATGCCCAGACCCAGGATCGAACTGAGGACCCCCAGATCTTCAGTCTGGCGCTCTCCCAACTGAGCTATCTGGGCTGGTTTACGGAGATTACGGGTCCTGTGGAGGGGAGTACGTCGCGCGCCCGTGACTCTAGATGTCTCATCCCAGTACGACCACAGCCAGGCGTGAAATTCAGGGAAAACTGAACAAGTGATCACAAAATATGGTAAAGAATACTTGAATACTCTTACTAAAGGAGTTGATCAATTGATCAGCTCATTCACTGTGGCCGTACACTGCGGCCTGCGAGGATCGAACTCGCCACCTTTGAATTATGAGACCTACGCGCTACCTACTGCGCCAAAGCCGCGCATCACGATGGAAGGAACTCGCTACCGATTGTCCCAATAATTGGGGATCTGGTGGTAACGGGATAGCCGTTAGCTGGTGAACGCTGCATCGGCAGCATCTTGTCATCAAGCGCCGAGCTAACTCGACAATAGCGGCTCAACGTTAGAACTGAAGGCATGAGAGGCTTCCGGTGCACAACGAATACGACTGCGTGACGCTTCGAAGGTCGCCTCAGTCAGAGCAAGACGTCAATGGTCGATGCAGGGCTCGAACCTGCGACCCTCGCGTTATTAGCACGATGCTCTAACCGACTGAGCTAAACGACCAACCTGACAATACTTTAGAGCTCCGGGAGGGCCGGAAGCGGCAGTATTCTTATACTTGTCTCCTGGTGCTAGCTCGCCCCCCGTCCCCACATACAATGTTGAATGTTATCGCAGCCAGCCCCCCACGAGATGTCATCGAAAGTGGTTCAACATTGGAAGGGGGAGGGGGTGCATGAAAAATTTTCCGTTATATGCCGAGTAGAATATCTAGTACCAATAGGCCTCGAATCGCGCTGCGCCACCCCGTGGCGCGAAACGTGCGGTTAGTAAACGCGTAGGAGAGTTACAGCTGAATATAGCGTTACTCGCCTTACCACTGGTGACAGACAAAGTCAAAATTCGTTTCGGATGAATGTTCTCATTGTGGTGGACTTTCTAACCGACGGGACCGGGAGGCCGACTCTCCCTTGATTGGAGCAAATCTCAAGGATCTAGCGCGACGGAGAAAAGCGGCGATGCTCATTCGACTAGCAGCAGTGAGTACCACCTACAGCATTACAACGACAATCAGTATTGGAAGGCACCTTGGTGCTGGGAAGTACAATACCGAGACAGCTACGCCCTTGTGCGTTTTTGTGTGTCGTGTCTGTACTGTGTGGAAGCTAGCGCTTCAGGCATTTGGTCTCCTGATCTGCATCGTTATTAGAAGCGGTACCATCTCGGTTTTGTTGTCGTGTGAGTAGTACTATTTTCAGTTGGTCTCTCCGTGTCTCGCGATTTAACCCACCCGCTGCCTCCCGAGGGCTGAGTGATCGGTGTGGGTAGCTGTCTCACACTATCTTCGTGTACAGAGGGCTACTGGTTTGGTGTCTGGTTCCGGAGGGCGTTTAGCAGATGCGGATTACCACCTCCGTTAACCATCAACACCTACTTCCGGTTAGCCCTTGCGTCGTACAAGGTTTCTGGTAGCACGTCGTGCTCGGCAGCTACCCAAGTAGCAATTCTGCCTTCTCCGCCCATGAGTTCTGCGGTCTTGAGTTTACACGAGTGCGTAGCAAAGCGGGATTGTATTGGAAGGCACCTTGGTGCTGGGAAGTACAATACCGAGACAGCTACGCCCTTGTGCGTTTTTGTGTGTCGTGTCTGTACTGTGTGGAAGCTAGCGCTTCAGGCATTTGGTCTCCTGATCTGCATCGTTATTAGAAGCGGTACCATCTCGGTTTTGTTGTCGTGTGAGTAGTACTCTTTTTCAGTTGGTCTCTCCGTGTCTCGCGATTTAACCCACCCGCTGCCTCCCGAGGGCTGAGTGATCGGTGTGGGTAGCTGTCTCACACTATCTTCGTGTACAGAGGGCTACTGGTTTGGTGTCTGGTTCCGGAGGGCGTTTAGCAGATGCGGATTACCACCTCCGTTAACCATCAACACCTACTTCCGGTTAGCCCTTGCGTCGTACAAGGTTTCTGGTAGCACGTCGTGCTCGGCAGCTACCCAAGTAGCAATTCTGCCTTCTCCGCCCATGAGTTCTGCGGTCTTGAGTTTACACGAGTGCGTAGCAAAGCGGGATTGTAATAATGCATAAATTTTATTCCCATACGAGAAGCATATAACGAGGAAATTCCCGACGAAAAGCGTGGCGCGGCGATTACAAGTATTCACCATCGGATATAACTCACTTCGGACGAGCCGCGATATTGAGCATCGCTCCACGTGCCGTATCACCGGCTGTGCTATCCCTTCAGCGTTATTCTGCTGAGTCGACCCTATACGAATAGGTTCGAGGCTAGGTGACATCTACGCGAAGAATTGAAGTTCCGTGTGTAAGCTGTATGTTAGCGCATTATGTGTCCTAGTAAAACCAGAGTAGCGTTCTTAATGGTCAAATGACTAACAATTCCGCGAGCAAAGCGACACAATAAGGATAGCTCGGCCTAAAAGGATCAACCAAAAAAGCCTGCCTTGTTTGCCATGACTGCTAACCGTACTCGTCGTCTGGGGAGAGAAATGTGATTATCCACTGACTCCCACTGTGGCAGTCCAATAGTAAGGAGCGATTCCTTAGATTCCTGCCGTCAATGACAGTTTCAAAGCAGCTATATCCCAGCGTGGGGCAACAGTGACTCACACAAAGCTGGAACTACGAAAGAGATTAGCTTATGTTTCAAGCCTGCGTACTGCTATCATACCGGACACGAGGTAGAACTGAACTACCTGGCCTGAACAAGTGACCAAGCATCCCTCTCCACCGCAAACGTTTGGCGGCTGGGCGATGTCCCAATACTATGGGTTCAGTGGCTTCCATTTGAACCGCGAGTCTAACATCAACGGGGCATACTCATGATCTTCTCAACCTGGAGCGGCCGACCGTCCGGAAGGAGATCCTGACGCAGATAGGATGTACTTTCCCCCAACGTAAGCTACAAGGAATGCGATCTTTCAACCGGAGAATTTCTCGTATAGACCACTAGATTCTGTGCCCCATCCGGCATCTCTTATATCAGCTTGTAAGCTCACTCGCTACGGAAGTAAAACAGCTAAAGTCCGTCGATGTTGATGTGGCTGATTTTCTTCGCGATCCTCCCTAGACACGTTGGACCGGTCGCGTTCTCCTGGGAAGTTGCACTGCCACAGTACATTCAGTTCGAGCATACTGGCGCATGGATCACGATGCGCCATCGAGACTTCTAGTGAGTGTAAGCTAGGTCGGGGTCCTCGCTGTATCCGCTATATAGATAAGCTCGTCAAACACCGGTGAGTTGAACGGCGAAATTCCCGCAGACTCTACAGTGCAGCGGACTCAGAAGCTCTGAGGCAGAATAGACCAACGACGGCGGTTCCAGTACTAATCGGATCACCGCGTACGTCTGATTCAAAGAGGTTGAGTATTAAAAAAAAGAATGCAAGAGATGCAGCAAAGATTATCTTAGTCACGATCGGAGCCAATATAATATACAACTACGACCTAGAGCTAGCGGGAATTCCACTGTGGGGTCCACGCCCAGGTACCTCAAAGTTGTATGTAGGCCAGTCCGGCTAGCAGAAGGATCAGGCCCAGAGGACGCGCGTTATTGATAGACTTGGAGCACAAGATAAGGCCTTCAACATCACATCAACAACAATGAATCACACGAAAGATGGCTCATTTCTTAGCCTTTTTCTCGTTCCACTTCGCGATTTTCTTGAGTCGCTTACTGTCCGTGGCCCTCAGAAATTTGAGGAACCCTTCTGCGCCTTTCTTGTAGCTCTTCGGGGGCATGGACATAATTTTATAGAACAAGCCTTCGCAGTGTGGTTCGGGCTTAAGATAGGATAGAGCGGTCTTTTTCAGATGATGGAAGGGGTTTACGGATTTGAACTCAGCCTCAATCTCTTTGGTAGGACCACTGGCAGAATGGAAATCTTCTGGAGTATGATAGAAGACAAACGATCGATCATGGAAAGATTCCCTGAAGACGCCACATTTGCGGGAGAAACTACCGAGTCCCTTCGACATACGCTACTATCTGCCAACGATAGAAAGTCTCACTTCATGCTGAAGCTGTAACCGTCGTCATAGTAATTTGCCCCAACTCCATAATCATCGAATTGAATCGAGAAGGAGAGCGTTAGATTTCCTTTGCCGTAATCGAAGTAGCACGTGTCATCGTCCAGTCTGATCTGTAACAGAAAGTTAATACTACAGCAGCATCCCGACGACTCACATCCACTGCATCCCCCTGAGGGTCCTTCGCCGTGGCGATCGGCGGCGGAGGCTAAGAAAATATCACCATGAACAGAGTACATCCTTCAGGTACAACTCGAGAGTTCACCTCAGATACAGGACTGAAGAGGCGGAAGTTGCCCGTTTCGGGAGAAGCTCCTGCGACGAGTCCCACTGAGAGAGAGAAGC